AAATTAGAAATTAAAAAATGACAATTTTCGAAATTTACCACCATTTTCTATAAATAATTTATAAACAATTAGTTTTCCACCATAAAAATCATTGTTCGGAATCGTAACAATTGTATTCATACTCAGAATTTCTCCAGAAATCGATTTCATGCTTAAAAAAATTGGATTTCAATTATTTATGTATAAACATGTTAAAAAAAAATTCTGTGCGAAACGCAATTTAAGTGGCAAATTTTGATTTCTGAAATTACTTAAATCTATAGTGTGGTCCGTACTAAACCGTAAAAGACCCGTGGAGATCCTCAAATCCTTAAGGTCACAATTACCCCCCCCCCTTAAAAAACTTTAATTCCATGTCCAATCATCGCCCCCCAAAAGAAGCAAAATAGAAAAACAAATGTGCATAAAACAAAACAAAACAAAAACAACAAACGTGCAATAAAAATCCTCAATTACCAAAAAATTACCTCAATAAAATCGTTAGACTTAGCGCATACTTACGCACTTGAAATGTATGAAGATGCGAGGCACGTCTGGCAGTGGGTAGGCTGCGCGGGTCACAATCCCATCTGCCGATCCGAACCGGTCTCTCTCCGACTCTCCATCCCCGCTCTCTCTTTACTCCAGCTCTATCCCATTTTATCCACCTAAGCCCCCTCCCCCTCTGCCCTACTGTCAGTAACTCAAAATGTCTCACTCACTCTATCTCGTTCACAGCAACGGCTCCAGCAAAACAGACAACCACATCAACATTCATCTCGCCATTTCTCTTGCTCGCACCCTTTCAGTTGATATAAAACCCAAGCATAACGCGCACCAACGGCCCTTCAGATAGACTTAAACGCCTGCTCTTGGGTACTTGTTCGCTGGGAAAATATAGTCCCATTGGCTCGCCCTCTCGGTGAATGCCGGAGTCATTATCTTAGCATTTTTGATGATTGAATTTTTTTTTTCGATGCGGAATCGATGGTGAAAGAGCATTCAATGGGTTTGCAGTGACCACAATCATTCCTTGCATGCTTAAACAATTATTTTGATACTTTTAACGTGTCTTTAGATCTGCAAACAGGGAACAACTCACCACGATCGTACGCCATCGCTTACCTCTCCCATTATCTTATTTACGCGCTCATTGTCTCAATGTATCATACTAATATATCGAGCCATTACTAGTATGTGTATACGCACCTAATCGTAAATCGCTCGTGGATATGTACACGCGTATTACTTCGGTACAAGTGATGGGGACAGTTACCCAGTTTAAAATCAAACATCCCAGTGACGTTTATAATACACCAGTTGATGAAACACGTACACACAAATCAAGATTGAACGAATTTGCAATTTATGTCTCGCTCTCAGGCTCTTTACGTCATTTCTTTGGTTCTGGATTAGTTTGGTTGTCTAGGTTGCGCAATGAGGCGGTAATATAGGATTAGCAAACTGGGATGTAGAGTAATGCAACCATTCGGAATTGATATTGAATTACTGGGGGTTTATTCATTTTTATTCATCTATTATTGGATTCAATGGGAGTCAAGTTTTGCTTCAAGTTTTTCTTGAATATGAAAGTTGAAGAGAAAATATTATGAATGTTGACTGTTTCATTTTGATGAATAATGGAAGATTTATAGAGGATTGGGCTCATCTGACATGTGACGTCGTGATGCATATTTTTTTTCAATTGACTATAATGCCTTGATTTTTTCATCACGCTGTGATGAAAAGTGAACTTTTTGACACGCTCCGCGTGCATAAAAGTCCAATTTCCGTCACATTGTGATGAAAAATATTGTTCGTAACTCGTGAAAAAATGTTTTTTAGCTCGTGATATAAACCTCCCACTCGCCAAAAAACACTTTTTTGCACTCGTTACGAAATATACTATTTTTTTTTTTTTGGTTAAAAATATGCGTTCTAGTTCTTCTTTCTTCTTTTCTCTTTTCGTATACCCTTTCGGGTTTTTACGATTTGCTCCCTTTCCAGCGCCCCGACTCCCTTTCCGCAAGCACCGGCGCCGGATTCGCCGAAGGACAAGGGAAAACCTCAATCGAGGGGATAATCTGACCAGGTACAGTCGGCTATTGCGAGACTGTCGCTCGACAATGAAACCAGGAGATTTAGAGTTTTTTGGATCGTTATTTTAATCGTTTCGACCCGGTTAGAGTATACTGCGATGATGATCAAGACTTTAAATGGTTAGATCGCACCATTCTACACGGCCGGGATTTGAACTCGGAACCTTTCGCATGTGAGGCAACGAACTTACCCACTACGCCAAGCCACCGGAGATTTAGAGTGTCACAAATTTGGCGCCTATGCCAACCCCCAGTCTAACCACACAGCCACTGCCGTCGGTCAAATACGATATCTTATGGAAAAGGAAAAATTCAATGAGACTAATGAAAATGCCAATTTTTTTGGTGAAAAATATTGCAGATTGTAATTTCTACACTGAGAGAAAAAAGTTCTAATGCGCAGGCCATCTTTACTTGAGAGAAGTAAATAATTTTCAATGGTTTAAATGTCAGAATGTTACCTGTTTACGGAACTCGAATAATTCTGATTTATCACTATCGTTGCGCATTATATCACCAATATATTACATATCGAAATATTGAAACTGCAGAACAAAAAAATTATGAAAACAATAAATACTTGAAGGTTGACGATTCTTCTACGCGATTTGAGTGCGTTCATTTGCGACAAAATCATACGTGAGTACAAGAATATTTTAAAGCATGTCTGAGAGAATTAAACAATTGAAGAAAGAAAATTTTTCGATATTAGAAATTTTTTTTCTCAGTGCACCCGAAATATCTACATTTGTAATAGTATGTGAAAAAAATTAAATAAAATTCAATGCGACAATCCAATTCAGAAACTATTAAATAATCACTTTTTAGTGACACCCTAGAAAAAGATGTAATACTTGTCATGGATGGATTCCTAAATTCTTCTAACTTACACGGAGAGAAATGCTCAATAAAAATTACGTATCTTTTCCGTGATTCCGGAGCGAAATGTGGTTGTAGGAAATTTTACGGAACTGTCGCGGAATTCTTCCGAAGCGTTCCGTAATTTTTACTGAACATTTTTCTGCGTGTAAATGTCTAAGCTCTAATTATTAGTCATCACTTATGCAATATAAATGCATCGAGTTGAATGCACAAGGAATATTAACCTTTGTAACTTCTCTAAATCTAATCCTACGTGGAACAGAATATTTTTAAGGAATTATCATTTTGTGTAAATTCCCACAAAATTAGTATGTTTTTTACTGCAGCATATACCGTTAAGTTTAAAAGCGTGCAATAAAAAAAATCATTTCTTAATATTCATGAATACAGAAGAATTGTCTGTAAAAATAGAAAGAAGTTATAGACGATTAAGATGATGTGCCTCGTGAAATCATGAATATTTTTTCAGTTGGCCTTGATTTTTCCATTTTCTTCGCCATAAGAAAGATATATATAGAAAGTATTTTGAATCAAAAGAAAAATCTATTACAGATGTCCAATAAAAACTCAAATTTTGTACATGAAAACCACAAGAAAAATTGTAGGCTTCATTCTTAATCTTGCGTAAACAAATTCAAAACCCAATGTATGCAAAAACCTAATTGACGCAATGTTAAAAACTCATTTTCAAATGTTTGTGAACACCGAAATTGTATATTTTAGGGTGAGTGCCATGGCGTTCTTTACTCGCACGGAGGTGGCGTCCGAGCCGAAGGCGAGGACTGGCCAACCACGCGAGTGGAAACACCCCATGGCAGTAGCCGTGAACGATATTTTTCCATAGTGATTTTCACTTTTACGAGTTTGGGGAAGGGCCAACACCAATCCCCGGACGAGGAAAAGTGAAGATAAGTCCTAAAAAATTATTCTTTAAAATAAACCGAAGTTATAAGCAGTTGAGGTCGACTGTCTTCCGATGTCATAATACCGATATTTTTTCGCATTGACTTCAATTAATGTGTTTTACTCTCATTTTTCGGAATAAAACAATTCGAATAAAATATTTTTAACACAGCGAAAAATCGGCGAAAAAAAAAAAAAAGATTGCCGCTGAATTTTTGAAAGAGCGAGTAAAAAATGTAATGCATTTTTTTTCGAAAATTCGATATTTCAGGTAAAAAATATCACAAAAACATTGAAATTATTACCCAAAATCTCTTCATTTATTTATATTAAAATTCTGAGAAATGACTATACTGATGTATAATTCTGGGGCAATTCCATTACATTTTATTCTCTCCTTGTACGTATTTTTCCTTTCCCATCATCTTCCAATAAAAAATTTAATGCACCAACCCAATTGGTGAACTATTGCACTTTGTAGGGTTGATATAAAACGATGAATTAAAGTCTACACGAGAATTGCATAATCTTCTCAATATGGCTGGCGTGTTACATCGATTCACGCCAATGATACCACGATGCCAATTACCCACACAAAAAGTTAATAATTCCTCCATGAATGACTACCAACCCCCAGACCCAAGAATGCATCACCAGCTTGTTTTTGAACAAGAATAAAAATAGTAGAGTTGAAAAATAAAACCGAAAGAATAGAGCGGACTATCTGGAAAATATTTGTTACCTTCGGTTGAATTCGAACGGTCCGAAGGCCACGGAAAGTACGGTTTATGGTTACGGCGAGGTAATAAAGTAATTTAGAGTCCCTCTTGGCTTTTCCCTCACCATCCTCACCCCATTGTCTCCTCACGACTTTGTTACCTTCTCGGATGTTTTGACAGTCAGCGGGTTCTGCCTGTTACATTTACGATGGTGTCTCGAGGATGCTCAACCATTTTATTGAACGAAATATCCAATCAGGATTTGTGACACCCAACGACGAAGCAGCGACCAAATCAACCGATGAAACAATCAAAGCGGATGAGGAATCAACGAAGTTCACCGAAGTGTGGAGTTAAAACTAGATAAAAGATATTTCCAAAGATGCGAAATATTTTTCTTGAATAACAAAACATTGAATTATAAAAAAAGGTTTTGAACATTTATTCATATCGATCTCCTCCTCGCCTCTATGTACAACATCTCAGAATCGTTAATAATTTCTCTCTTCTCTCCTATATACAAATAATAAACATAAAAATTGCCGAATGTCACGATAGATAAAAACGAACACTCGTCAACGAGAGATCTCAGGCAATTACACAATCTAAATCACTAATATAGTAATTCTCTCAGTTCTATATACAATATAATAATTTTCTAAACCATTATCATCACTCGGAGAGGCCTCCACTTGTGCATTTAACCCAAACGCCTCGAAATTTGGTAATTCGGAAATATTTTAACCCCACATCTATTAAATTCCCGGGGTCCTGATACTCTAAGCAAACCCCATGAGATCGCCCGTAGAGACCCCATATGTGGCCATACAAGGACTACGAGATCCCTCACCCCTCTTCCTCGAGAGCAACAAGAAAGAAAGAAAAGTATACAAAAAATTTAATCACTGGTAGCGGTAACTCGTGGACCCGTTGAGATTCAGCTCTGTCTCCCAGTGAGAACGGTGATGGGTTTGAGAAGTAGCATCGGTGGACTGTGAGCATGGGGCCTGCTCTGGCCGACGGAATTGCAGGCGGAGGTTGGTGGTGAGTGCGGAGACATTGGTTCCGGGCTGCTTCCAGGCGATGCTGTCGTGGACGTTGGTTGACTCGGGAGATGATGCTGGCCCAAGTGGTACCTCGGCTGGCCGAAGACAGCCTGATGCTGCTGATGGGCGGCAAGATTTCTCAGAGTGGTGTAGAAATCGTAGGGATTGGCAGCGGAAGGCATGGCGGGGGCTGGTAGACCGCTGGGATAGCCCGTTGGTGCCTGAAGAAGTCTCTCCATGGAGAAAGCTCCGTGACTCGGTGGAGCCGCAGTGGCTGGCACCGCCTGGGGCTTGCAGGGCATGCTGGTGGAGCCAGGCAACAAGCTAGCGGGGTAGCCTGCTGGTGTTGGATAAGCACCGCTCGCCGGTGGATACCCAGCCCTGTGGAGATAAGGCAATGAGTAGAGCGATGCTGGCCACACCGGTGGCGCATAAGGCGTCTGGTAAAGCCCACCAAGCACAACACTCCTCTTGAAAGCTGCCAGCCGCGATCGCGAAGCCGCTGTCGTTCGCCGCCTCAACTTGCCGGTTGTACCACCAATGAACACGTCCTCGGAGCTCGGGTCCAACATCCAGTAGTTACCCTTTCCCGGGTCGTCGTAATGACGTGGTACTTTAACGAAACACTTGTTGAGGGATAAATTGTGACGAATCGAGTTTTGCCAGCCTTGCTTGTTGGTCTCGTAGTAGGGAAAATGGCGCATTATGTACTCGTAGATGCCGTTCAATGTCAAACGTTTCTCAGGACTCTGGCGGATTGCCATCATTATGAGGGCGTTGTAACTGTACGGGGGCTTTTCGTTCTTCTTCTTCTCCTCAGTCTGCTGATTTTGCTGGCTCGAGGGGCTCTCGCTTGTTGCATTGCGAGAACAGTCGAGTGGCGGTGTCTCTGCACCGTCGCCAGTTACGTCTAGGTCGCTCGAGTCGTCGCTGTCATCGGCGTGGGAGACCGTTGGTGACATTGAGGGCTGATTGATCGTTGGGGCTGATGGGGTACCGGCGCATGCCTCGGGGACTATACTCCTGATGCTGAAGTTGCTTTTTAGGGTGGCCCGCGGGGGTGGCGAGGCCGTCACTGTCTGCTGCTCACTCGAGCCCTCCATGTTCACCATTTTTTTTAAATTCACTTTTTCAACAGTTTTGGGAGTATCCAGTAACACTCGAACGTCCTCACAATAACACAAGTTCTTTTTATTCGGGGTAGAACACACTGAACACTTATTTCGGTAAGCGTTGAACTTTGTAAACTATTGGATCTTTAGGGTGATTTCAATTTGAACGAGCGAAGTGCACCGTCTGAGCGGTCACACGTATCTGCCGGTTCCCCCACTGCAGCGGTTTATATACCGCGGCTCAAGCACCGCCTATTTGTCCGGTAGACGCGCCCGCCTTCGCGCTCCTCCAATTGGATGGGAGAATCGTCGATCGCCAGCTCTCACCCCACCACCACTGTTTGCACCCAATGTTTGACAGCAAACAATGCAAACAGCCGGGGCGCACGGGCGCGCTGCTCAGAGGTGGGCAAAGGTGGGGAGCGCAGCCGCAACACGCATGGAAATACAAACAAATCGTGGGGCTCTCTGCGCTTCACCCTGCTCTTGGCTTTTTTTTCCAGCGCTTTTTACGCTCATCCCCACCTCGGCTCTCATCCAATCCCCATGTGAGCACACTCATTGCGGTTTATTCTGTTTGGAGTCAATGAATTCGGAGCAATTTTTTTAAGATGGATCGCTGTCGGTAAATAGTCTTACGTCCACGGAAGACTTGTGAGTCGTGTGTCTTTTAAGAGTTGGGCGACGAGAAAATGTTCGTGAATTGAGAATTCTTTTTGGGGAGAATTGGCCTGCTGCGTGGGACGTTCATACGCGGAGGGAAAGGTTGGATAAAATTATGTAGAAAGTCGTAACAATTTTCACTTTATGAAAGGTATTCATGGAGGATATAAATGTAATTTAATGAAAAAATACTTGTTTGTGTACACTGTTGGAAATTTTGTTGAAATTTAAGTAATTGATGGAGTTGAATTCACAATATTCTGAACTTGAAATCAATTCCTGATTCATCTTGGAAATTCAATAAAATTAAGTTCTTCATGATGAATCATTATTCAATTTTCAAGAACAATTTGGATTTTCGAACCTGTCGAAAAAATTAAGCAATAGATTCAATTGAATTTTCAACAGATTGAACATTCAGAAGAAAAGTAGCCTGAATTTTCAACATCTTCAGTAATTTTCACTGTCGCATGAATTTGAAAAATCAAATTTCATTGAATATTCAAGAAAATTGACTGATTTATTGATAATAAGATCAATGGAAATTCCATGTAAATTATTCGTTTGAAAAAAATTAAAGAGTAATTTTCTAACAGTGTACAATTTTTACAATTTTATTCGATCGATACAAAAAACATCTATGGATGCAAAAATTATTCTCCTGTACAAGAAAATTTGCCACACCGCTAGGGTATTTTTTTCTTGTGTCCATCTGAAAGTCATGGGGACGAATGCAAGTGAAATTGTGCCGAACGCGTTCGCTGGAAAATCATTATCCTTTGCAGAAAAATTATACGCAATATTGAGCAGTCATTCACGTTCACGGGAGAATTTTTGATGAAATTCAGGTTAAAATTTACAGTTTCGGCACAAATTACCCTTACGTTCAGGAAATTTTCCCATACCAACGAAGACAAATTTATGATTCGCCTCGCACTTTTTCCTGATATAGAGTGAAAAAGTATTGAAAATCATGTTTGATTCTTGACTCCACGATTTCTTGACATGTACGGTAATTTTTCTCCAACTTTTTTCTCCGTGTAAGATTGAAAAATGTGAATAGAATCATTCAGAAGGTAGGAAAATTTAATTGAAAAATAAAAAAAGCATTAATCTTTGCTTAATTAAGACGAGATATCTGAGAATATAGAAAATACAGTTTTAATACTTTTTGTTGGGACTTTTGTGAATGTTAACGGTTACATAGTGCAAAAATATTAATTTTCATGATCAATTTCTAGTCAATTACTTACGCAATACAAAAATGTGAAATTTATGCTGAATTTTTAATTATTATTGCAAAATTTCATAATTTTTCACTTCTTCAAATCGAGTTTTTGTATTATCTGACAACTACTTCGCTTCCATACTCCCGTTACTTATTCATTGAAAGTTAAAAATTAGCTGTGAACGTGGAATAATTTTTTTTGTTCATCTTTTTTTTTCTCGAAATCATAAAATACACGGAGCGGGGATTCTCTTACCGCGCGCCCAATTATGTTCAGTGGACAACTGCGACCACTTAAGGGTTAAAATCTAAGAAAAATTGTCTTGAACTGAGAGCAATATTTTTAATTCGATAATTTATATCTACCTGAGTAAAAACTAATCCGTTAATGCTTACTGCCTGCATAAAGGGCTAATGTGCGGCCCAATAGAAATAATAATATATTGCTAGCCGTGTTCTCAATTCCCTGAACAACCGATATTTCATTGACAATGCATAACGTCATTACTTCTGCGTAATACGATTGAGTATTATCGGGGAATTCTGAAGGCCCTTGATGAGTCCAGAGTGGGAGGGTGAGATGGTCAGTAAATCGGATAAACTTTGCCCGTGGGTATTGTTTCGGGGCCATTGTCAGGCTAACAGGATTAAGGTAACTTGGAGGGGTGGAGTAGGGAAAACAGCCGAGTGTCGCAAATGACTGGGGGTCCCTACCTGCTATGTAGCGCCCTCTAGCGGTGCCAGAGGACATCGAAACGTTTCAAGCTTAGTTGGAGTTGTGTTTAAGGTATATCCCAAAACAATACCACCCAAAAGTTAGTGCCTATGGATTTTTGGAAAAAATTCTAAATGACTTAAGGTGTTTCGTGTGTAGATCACCGGGGGGTGAAGCGGAAGGGGAGTCTTATTGTTCTCGAGCCCTCATTCAATCGCTGAGCACGAAATTTTCCAATTTTCAAGTAACTATTTAAGTGTGCAGTTGGAAGTTTTTTGAATATTGATTTTATTTATCAGATTGATTGATTTTTTTCTCAACACCTACGGGTGTTCTCTCATGAATTTTCCAATTTTTTTTCATTGTTTTGACTTTTCAACCGAAGCACCTTAAGGATATCCAAGTACTTTGGCTATTTTTTCTCCACTGAAATGCTTCTGTACTTCCCTCTAGTGGAATGGCAGAGACACCCGTTAATCCTGTTAATTATTTTGAGTTATTTCATTAAAGATTGATGAGATAATTCAAAATTGCCAAAATGTTATTTGAATAACGCTGAATATTCACGATTTTTTAAAAAATTTTCTCACGCAATTTAATTGACAAATTTGATGGTTGAAAATGATTGAATCTACAGAGAGAAAACTTGGACAAAAATTACCTCGAAAACCGTGACAAATTATTCTATACGAATGATAATTGTGGAGCAGATGTAATTCAGTGATAAAATACTGTCTTTTAGTGAATATCTGACGATTTTCTCAGCAAAAAAATACATCTATGGATGCAAAAATTCACTATTAATCTCGCACTTTTTCCCCTACTCAAAGTGAAAAAGTACTGAAAATCAAATTTGCTCCACGATTACTTGACTTGTTCGATAATTTTTCACCAACTTTTTGCTCCGTGCACGAATTTCTTCTTTAAAAACATCATAAGGACCGTTTTCAATAGCTGGAGAATATTATAACCATTATCTATGAGAAACACGGAAACTATCGTAAGAAAGCCCCGTTTTGTAGGGATATACCTTAATCCAGAAAATGGCATTAGAGGACTTCGGTTTGGAGTTTTCCTCGGTTTTAGGATAATGTCTGACGTGAGATCATGCCGTTGGGGGATTTCCTCTTAACCGGAATCGAATTAACCTCTGGGAATATTCCGTTATGTCGTGGTCCCTGCACTCAGATCATCAGTGGAAGGTATTATGAATAATATTTACGGGTTGGAAATGTTTTATTCTCGGTTAATTTTATCATTTAATCTTTTATAATTTCAAATTTTATCCTTCGTTTGTTGAAAAAGTTAAAAGGTAAATTTCTGTTCTGAATAATTTCTTGGAAGATATTTTAATCTTTCGAATTTTATGGGGATTGTTTTGAATTTTATTAAAACAATATTCTGCTTTTTCTGAATTTTTTTTTAAACTTCTCGTTTCTCACTTTTTTCTCCCACTTTGTTCTCCGTGTTTTCTAATTTTCATTTATATCCTTTCATTGGAATGTTTTATTCCGCTTTGAATAGCGAATAAAAAAATATTATGATATTTCGCAACTTCTTTCATGACTTTTGACTTCGTCGTCGTAGAGCCAAAGGGACGTAACGGTTATACACACCATTTACGCCCCTTTGGTCATGCGACGACGATTTGATGTCTCAGAATCAGTCATGTGGGAGTAAAATATACTCTGCGATATCATGATGAATACAAACACGTGTTTGAAATATTTTCGTCACTTTAAATTTTGTTAATCAAAATTGTTATGAATTGATTTATCATATATTGGGTTCAATTAAATTTGTTGACTCTCTCGACCGAGGTTAATCAGTTAATCAGACAACTTGAGTCACAGTTACAGTGGCCGAAGGCACGATCCACTGTGAGAATGAGACCCAAGAATGCCCATGAAACCCGTCATAAATAACGAGAAACAAACGATCATTTTGATATCTCACTATTTTTGGGAAGAAATTTTTCGGTTTTTTCTAGACATCAGAGTGTTTCAGTATATTGGGGAAAGGAGAAGGGACCACCTGGGCGTGGACGGGAGTTTTTGATACCATCAGTGGGAGATGGCATGGCCTGGCGTCAGCAAATGGGAAAACAATGTTTCACTGATCTATGCCGCAAAAGTCAAAGGCTCACGGGTGCTGAATATAACTTTTCAACGGGATAGAATGATGGCTCTATATGTGTATCCAGACCCTCCTGCCGTGAATACGTCGTCACCCTGCGGTGAGACGAAGATTTACCTGTATTCTCGTATATTTTTTCTCCTTTTTTGAATTTTTAGGGGAAGCCGAAAGTTCTGGAAATAACGAAGGCCCAATATCCAACGAAAAAAATTAATAGGAGGGAAATAAAATGAAATTAGAAAATGTAAATGGATATGAAAAATGGGAAAATTCTCACATCCAAATTACTTAAATTTTTTTCCATGAAGAATTAATGAATAATCATTTCTTTAACTCAGAAATTATTTTTTCAAATTCATAATCAATGTTTTTGTATGCTGAATAGTCGTCGAAAACGACTTGAATAATTTCCCTGATTTAATCATGAGAAGGCAATTTTTA